TCTCTCCCCGGGCGCTCGGCCGACCTGGCGCAGGAGAATCAGCAAAGCTTCCCCTTCCAGCACCGAGGACGGACGGATGGATGGACGGACGGACGTCCTCTGTCCCTCCTGGGCTTCCCAACCACTGAAGTTACATCACAAAAAAGTCTCAACCTATAAACTCTGCAGTGACATGCTGACCCGCGACCCCAACAGTGGTCAAGGAGGCTTCTGGCTCGTCGTCGGCATCATCCGGGTCATTGCTTCAGGTGTCATGACCTCATGATCTCCACCAGCTCACGGAACATGATCTCATCATCTCATCTCATCTCATGTAACGGTCTCACCAGCTCATGTATCATATCATGATCATCACCAGCTCATGGACCATGACCACACCATCATCTGATCTCACATAACAGATCTCTTCATCTCATCTCATGTAACATCTCATGATCATCACCAGCTCATGGAACATGATCTCATCATCTCATCTCATGTAACATGATCTCACCAGTTCATGTACATGATCACCACATATGTATCATGATGATCTCCTGATCAACTCATGTGTCATGATGAATTCATCATCTCGTCTCATGTAACGTGATCTCATCATCTCATGTAATGTGTTATCACCATCACCTCCTGATGACCTCATGTATTTATATTTAAGTGTTTCCATCCACTGAATCATCATTTTCCGATGCTCGAGCTGCCCCAGCTTAGATCAGTGGGGACTCATGTTGATCTAATGAAGGGGGTTTTTGTTGTTGTTTTTTAATCCTCACCTGAGGATATTTTTTCGTTGATTTTTTTTTTTCCTCCTCCTCGCCGTCCCTCTTCCGCCCGAGCTCACCCTGGAGGAGCGGCAGAGGAGTGCCATGTGGGAGCCCAGCGCGTCGGCCTTCCACGGGTGTCGGTCCCCCACGCTGCCCCGTACTCCGTGGGCTGGGTAGGACTCGGGGTACGACACTGTCCCCCGGGATTCAGGGGCCTTGTTCCAGACCTTCAAGTTCCCAGTGTTTCCGCTGAGAAGCCCAAGGCCATTGCGGCTCTTGAGCCTGTGTCCCCTGGGGAGCGTCTGGGTCTTTTCATTTCCCACGGAGATGCCTTGGGGGGTGGGAGGGCAGGGAAGTCCTTGCTAGGCTGGGCACTGGCGAGTCCTTTGCAGGAGGAATCTTCTCTGTGCTGGTGTTCGGCGTCCTCGTCTCTGCCCTTCCAGTCTCCCTCTGTCAGGCCAGCCAGTAGGATACCGACCCCTGAGGACGATCCATTCCCTACTTTTTGGTCTTTTTGATCTATTTCCTGAGAGATTCCTTCTACTCCGATCCTTCTCATAGGATTTTTCATTGTACATTTTCTTTTTTGTAAAATATTGTTTTGATTGATTTCAGAGAGGAAGGGAGACGGAGAGAAACATCGATGATGAGAGAATCATGGATCGCCTGCCTCCTGCACGCCCCCTACCAGCGATGGAGCCCGCCACCCAGGCATGTGCCCCTCCCTGACTGGAATCGAACCCGGGACCCTTCAGTATGCAGGCCGGGGCTCTATCCACTGAACCACCCCAGCCAGGGCCATTGCACATATTCTTACACTAATTGTCTGATTAGCGGACTCCATCTTCCCTCCGGATACAATGTCCTGATTGTATCAGAGGAATGAAGCATTGTTTCTTTAGCTTCTCTCCTGCTGGTCCTTGTCTCTGTTTCCTTGTTTTGTCTCCTGTGGTCTCTTTCACTCTGAAGGCCGTTCATTCGCATTTACGAGTCAGGCGGGAGGAGCCGGTGGGAGGAAGTGGTGGCCGAGGAGGCTGCCCAGGGGCTGGGAGCTGAGCTGACCTTTTCGCCCAGGACCCCCACCTCAGCATCGACAGGGCTCTTCCTGGGCCGCCTACTTTCTCCAGTGGTGACTGGGTGGCGAAACCCCAACACGCTGCCTGCCCACGTCCGGCGAGGGCTGGGAGGGGCTGGGCTCCGGGCTCAGTGTGGCCGCCAGCGGCCCGTTTGGGGCCGTAACACTCAGACGGCGAACTTGATAAAAGCCCCAAGAGATGCCCAATGACGCCAAGGAAAACTTCGGCCCACAAGGGCTTTGACTGCCACCATTTCCAACGGGGCCACCTTCCACCTGCTGGGGGGGGAGAGACCAAGACCGAGACCAGGACCCGGACCCGGACCCAGACCCGGACCGGTCCGGCCCTCGCCTCCCGTCATCAGCTCTTACATCATTGCCCGGTCGGCCTGCGGAGGCCACACTTGCAGACCCGCCGCCACCACCACCACGTCAAGAACGAGCACCTGTTTTCCACTTGGTAGGGCTCCTGACAGAGAAATGAAAGGGACTCCGCGGTTCGGGGCCGACAGAGAAAGCATTACTGAGTGCGTGACCTGGTCAGGTCGCCTGTGACCTTCCGGGGGAGAAGAACAGGAAAGAGACGCTGGGACAGTCCCAGCGGACGCTCCTCGTGGGAGAAAACACGGCGGCCACCAGCACGCGGCTGCCCGCTCCTTCAGAGTCCGTTCCACCGAGGACGGGGATGGGACGGCTCAGGGCTGCCAGGCACAAGGAAGAGCGCCAATCCCCCCACTCCCAGCGCCCGCCGCCGGCAAGGTGCCCGGCCCCCACCTCACTGGCTGAAAGTGAGACCTTTTTTAGGGAGAAGAAAAGGCCTCGAAATATTCGTGGTAATTTCTGCGCTTCGATGCCAGGTTACGCTGCTGTGTAAGACGGGTCTGAAACACGTTTATTAAACATTACACGTTTAAACACCGACTGTAATTACCAGAAACAGGCTCTTCTGCACAGTTTAGAAACGACTACAAACTGAAGGCAGAGGCCCTTACCAAGATGAACGCATTCAGTCCCCCAGCTGTGCCCATTTAAAATGCCGCACTGACTTAGAAGGTCCCGTTTCATGTTGCAGCTCTAAAGTGTACCCCAAAGAGACCTGCTGTGTACAGAACAGATCACTCCTCTGGGACGCGGTGAGCTCTGAAACGCATCCCGGTTCCTCCAACAGGCCTGGCTGAGCCCTCGGCTCTCCCTGCCCGCCCCCAGTTCCAGGACCTGTGCCC